GGGTAGATTTGGGCATGTTTTTATTTGAATTGGATTGGGGGGGGGGTCCGATTTTCGGGTATAAAATTAGGGGATAAAATAGCTAATTAAAAGATAAAAAATAATTTTTATGCATGTAGGTGATTTAAAATAATTACTTAATATTGTAAAAAATATAAAAAGTCATTTTTTTACATAGATAATGTAGCTATGCATATATGTTGGCTATTACTGTAAAATACACAATTACAGTTTTAAAAATGCAAAAATGTAATTGAAAAAATACAATTGAAATATTTGAACACTTATATGAGCACGAGTGCTGAATTTGGATGGTTAAATCATCATAAAGTAATATGAGGGATAATTTTGAATATTTATATAAAAAAAATACATAAATAAATGGATTTAAGGACTTTAAAAATTATAAATACAATTTGTGCATGTTTGTAAATGCATGTACTATATTTTGAAAGTGTATGCTTATATTAAAATATATGAGGGAAAAATTGGGTATCAACACTGATCTTTGTCTTTGGTATCCAAAAGGTAGTAACTTTAACCTAGTGGGATATGTTGATGCTGACTATGCAGGTTTCCTTGTGGATAGGAAGAGCACCTCAAGTATAGCACACTTCCTTGGTTCATGTCTTGTGGCATGGGCTACTAAAAAGAAAAATTCAGTGGCCCTATCTACTGCTGAAGCTGAGTATGTTGTTGCTGCTTCCTGTTTTGCTCAATTACTGTGGATCAAACAGCAGTTGATGGATTTTGGTATTGAAGTTGGTTGTATCCCTATTTACTGTGATAACACTAGTGCTATTAGTATGACTAAGAACCTGGTTCATCATAAGAGAACTAAGCACATAGATGTTAGACACCATTTTTGAGGGACAACATGAGAAAGGACTGATCTCTATAGAATTTTGTGCTACTGATAAACAGATTGTTGACATCTTTACAAAAGTACTGAGTAGAGAAAGCTTTAAAAGGAACAGGTTAGAACTAGGGATGATTAAGATCAGCTAATTGAACCAGTTCAGAATGCTCAATGAAAAAAACAATTTGGTTAGAAATTCTGGAACTTGTGTAAATATCTAGATTAATCTTTGCTCAGTCTCATACTGTAAATAGTATACTCCTGTGACATGTGTTGATATGGCTCACTGATCTCTAACAAAATTTTCTCTATTTTGGTAAATTGAGGCGTGATCAAGAGGATTCTTAGTGAAGAACCTGGTTCATCGGTACTGGTTCATCTGAATAACGAGGTATGTTTTCTACACTCTTCACAATTAGAAATATTAATATTTAATTTATGAGCATAGTCCTACCTATGTTCAAAAACTCAGAAAAACCTATCCTTTTGAGTTTGAACTAGTTCCGTCTTAAACTAGAATCCTCACCGTGTTAAAACGCCTAGATTCTAGGGAAGCCTAACCGTCTATTCAAACTGAAATTTTAGGGTGATTAGACTCCTATTTGACTACTAAAAGTTTCCATTGTGTATTAATTACACCTTCTCCTTTAAATTCATCATCATCACCACTGCCACTCCCCCAAAATGTCCATAACCGTCGAAAATTTTCTCTCTTCTCTTCTCTTCGCTTCCAAAAATTCTGCACACCCATCCCCTTTCTCACTGAATCCAGAGAAAATGACTAACCCCCAAGATAACCCAGGCAATCCTCCACAACCTACCCCCTCCGATTCCTCCACTACTCCTCAACCTAGCTCAACCCCCAACCTAGGAGAAGGCGAGTGAAGATGCTCGCTCGCAAAACTATGGCTACAGGTGCTCTTTCAAAGAAACTAAATGCCAAATTAAAGGCTAGTCAAGCCCAAGATTCTGAAAATTCTGATGATTCTTTCAAGTCTACAAGTGAGGGGGAAGGAACTAGATCTTCTGATTCTGAGAAAGCGCAAAATCCCCCTTCTAAGGTACGTTCTATTCTACTTGAAAATTTGGACAATCGGTTTGTTTTGGTTGGGTCTGTTATGAATGTGGAAATGTCTAAGTCAAGGAGGAGAGAAGGTAAAAATAAAAGTGAAAAAGAAAAGGAAAGTGAGGGGGTGAGTAGTGATGTGAGGGGAAAAGGGAAATAAGTGGATGATTCCTCACCCACTTCTGAAATGGTTAGACCGGCTATATGTGGGGCTGAGTATGAAAATATGGTAGAGAGTAGCAAGAAAACAGGGGGAAGTGGTTCAGGGGAGGCTGTTGAAGGGCTGCTCAATCTCAGTTCACATGCAGATGAACCCGGTTCATCTATTGAGGAGACCCTAGCAGACCTTCTGAAGAAAGTGGGTGCAAGCTATAACCCCAAGAAAAGGAGAACCCCAACACCAAAAGCTCCCAACACTGCAAAAACTACCAAGAAAAGGAAGGCTACTTCTCCAACAACTGCTGAGATTCCTTTACCAAAAGGAAGGGCCACAAGGAGTAAGTTAAAGCAAAGTGAGGATGAGTTGCAAAAGGCCATGGCAGAAAGCAAGAAGAAAAGAATGGACAAAGGGAAAGCTAAGGTTGTAGAGTCTGTTGAGGCTGTTGATGTGGATGTGATGGACCCGCTCCATCAAGATGAACACGTGACTGTGGATGTGGAGGTTCAGAACCCTAAGCCAAAGAAAACCAAGACTTCTTCAAAGAAGTCTTTATCTATTTCCAAGGTTGCTGAACCTTCTTCTTTGGCTAAAAGAACAAGGTCTGCTATGAAAGCCAAGCAAGTTAAGATTACTGAAGAAGAAGATTGGAGTGGTGAAGAAGAGGGTGAATCAGACTATGAACAAGATAAGCTGGCCAAGTTTGGCAAACGAAAAATCTTGAAGGGTGGACTTTTGAAGGATTTGGTGGAACCAGGGATGGTTCGACTGGTTGATGCTCTAGCTGCTCAGGGCTGGAAGGACATGGTTCTTCAGTTGGATGGCAGGCTGGAAAGAAATGAGGTTATTGATTTCATGGCCAATGCAGAGGTCAAGGATGGTAGAGTTACCAGACAGGTGAAAGGGGTTCAAGTGATGTTTGATGCAAAAGAGCTGGGTGAAATACTTGACATCCCTTCTAAAAGGGTATGATCCCTACACTAGGCAAAGATGGCCAAGTCTGGATTCCCTTCCTAATGCCCTTGCAATTACTAGAAAATTCTGTGATGTCACAGAAGTGAATGAGGCCAAGGTTGTGCATAAGAGTGAAATGAAGCCATGCCACAAAGTCTTGTTTGAATTTGTCAACAAGTGTTTGTTGCCTAGGCAGGAAAGAAGATTGCTAACTACATGGATCTGGTTTTGATGGAGTGTCTTGAAAGTGGAAGGCAGATCAACTGGCCTGCATTTATGATCAAGCTTCTTGATAGGGTTATCAATGGCTCCAAGGGCAATGCCACTCCTTATGGTTTTATTCTCACCACTGTCCTTGCACGTTGTAAGGCGCCACTGAAGAAGTGGAAGATGGCCACAAGCAAAGACCATTTTAATAAACACTTTAATTGCTTGTGACTATGAGGTCAATGTCATTCCCAATGAACCTGGTTCATCTAAAAAGACACCTATCAATAGCAAGGTCAGAGCTCTATTGCAGGAGAGTGGGGCAAAGGATGCTATGACAGCTAGGCTGAAGACTCGTTTGGCAGAGGTTGAATCTGAGAGAGATGCTCTCAGAACTGAGCTCACAAAGGAAAAGGAGAAGAATGATGGAATTCTTCAAGACATGCTGCACCTTTTCCAAGCCAAAACCCAACCCTCTAGTTCTTCCAAGCCTTAATTTCATTAGCCTTTATTTCCAGAACCTTGTCTCGACCTCTCAGTGACCCAGATTAGGAATTTTTCTTGTTTTGCTCATGTTTTGACTGTTTTTGTTTCTTTTTGTGGATTGTGCAGAATCATATTCTCTATCAATGGAGTTTGCTGTTTTTGCTCTTGTTGACTGTTTATCTTTCCTTGATAGTTTGAATATGTTTGGTTGATTACTGATGATTAATCCATGATTGCACTTGCAGTTGCCCCGGTGGCCATGAGTAAATTTTAAAATTCTGGGAATCACACTGTGTTTATGCAACTTTTCGATGATGCCAAAAGGGGGAAGAGATATTGTGATTGTGCTTTATATTCTGAATAAGTGATGTTTATAACCTAATGAACCTGGTCCTTGATGATAAGTGAAAAGTTTCTAACTTTGCATTGATGAATACGCTCAGTTTTGACAGGGCTTAAGTGAGTGAAAAGCACAGAGTTTGTCATCATCAAAAAGGGGGAATTTGCTGGCCCAAGTGAAGGAAAGTTTTGAAGATTGACAAAGGAACTCAGATATGGACCAGGTCCATCCTAGTTAAGCACAGGTATGGTCAACTCAAGCATGTGAGATGCACGTGAAGGAGATAAACCTAACTTATAGTAGTAGTTGGAACACATAGAAGAACCAGGTCCTTCTATAATCAGGTTAAGCGAAAAATTGGGCACCACACAAATCAACCCCCCCCCCCCCTCTTGTGTGGTATTAAAGTATAAAACATCATTCTATCACTACATTCATTGACAATCATTGAACATATGCTTGATATTTGTCATTCTCGAACACGGTCCCATATCACTGATATACCCCAATTTTAGATCTAGAATTTATTATGTTTAACTAGGATTCACCAGTTATTTCCTCATTAATTAGTTTAACAAAAAAGCTTAACATTTTTTGGTCAAACAATTTCCGTGACAACGATCTGTTTGATATCCATGTCGTTATCACGTAAAATGCAGTAGTAATATTCAACAGTGAAAAGAAAGTAGAGTAGTTGACCAAACTTCCTGGCTGTTTAATGTTTAAGCATTTAATATTCTTGATAATTTGAAATTTACTTATGTAATCATGATCATCATTATTGTTACAGTTCTTACGTCTATCCTTATGGAACCTAACAGTCTCACCGCACTATATATTTCTGCTTGTGCTGTTCTGCTGTTCCAAAACATATATTTAGATTGACCAAATAGATACTCCATAGTTGACCATACAACTTCATTGATTTAATCGAATATTTCGACAGCTTATAATTAATGGTTGATATGATAATAAAGTGGACAAACAAATAAAGCCCCACTCTGTTACTTACTGGTGTACATATACTAACAATTAAAACAGCACAAAAACGCCCATGTGCTCCTGCTATTTTGCAATGAACTAATAACATTACAGTAATAATAAAAAAAATCTAAATTCGAAGTTAAAGAAAATATTTTGAGCAGAAAATCTACTGTCCAATATCATCTGATGAAGGACCCATTGCTACTGGTGTAGGGGGAGAAGCATCGGTCTGATTAGGCTTCAAAAAACCGAGCTTTTTGATGAGCTCTTTAGCAATTAACTCGTTAGCACTATCAGAAGGGTGGTATTCATCCCAGAACACATATTTGCTTCTGTCAGTGCACAATGTCGATGCTGGAATACACGTCAAAGCTGGCCTTATTCTTCCGAACGAGCAGCACGGTGAATCAGAGTTACTAAAACCTGCAATATTTCCAGAGGAATTGGTTATTAATTTACACTGACAATATAAAGAATTTTTACTCAATCGCTATAGTTTACCCTGCTATAGCATGTTAGTTATCAATTTTACATAGATTTTCAATCAAAATTTTCCATGTAAGCCGATTCCTTAGCTCCTGATTGCTACCGCAAATCATAACTTTAGCGGCATGATTTGGCATCTCAGCGGGAATTGCTTTAAAATTGAGAACCTAGAGCTAAAGACTTCAAGTTTATGCGCTGACCCCTCTATGATAGAAGAAAACGCGAAGGACTAACCAATCAACATGATTCTCCGAGATTTAGAGTTTCATTAATGTGTCAGAGGGAATGCTCTACCCCTTCCTTAGATTGCTTTCATTTTTGCCCCGATCATGCGTCATTTTTTATCGATTTGTTCATTAATGTTTATCATAAACTTTTGTATGTGAAACTACTTTATAAGTGACATAATGATGTTAATGCTTTTTACATCGTCTGTACACATATTTTAAACTCTTTATTAGATTAACTTTACACTTATGTAATTCTAAAAATGATTTGTAGCTTCGTGTAGATTGTTAATAACAATGTGTAGTATAAGTTTGTACCGTAATTGCCGGGATTAGTAATGACATCGTTGACAACATCATAAGCATCTCCAAACTTGTAGCTTGCATTTGGAAGAGTGTTGGACAATTCTACTACTAGTTCGCTTGTTGCTTTGTTGAAGGCTAGAGCCAACTGATTTGTCTTGTCTTGACACTGACCATCTGTACTTAAAACTCTTTGAAGTGGAATACAGCCCATTGGCCCTAAACCAAACACCATCAACTCCCTTGCTCCCAAACTATGCAACAACTAAAAAAAAAAATTAAAAAGAAATAACGTTATTGGTTCAAAATTTACGAATTTATTCGGGAAATTGTCGATGAGAAAACTGGTAATGGCTTACTATAAGTTGAGCTCTGAGAGTATCCATTAGGTATTGAATAAAAGATTTATCATTGTACGTCCAGGAGTCACTGTAAACTGGCATTAAGTAATTGTTGATGAAATCATTGCTTCCCAGGGCGACAACATATCGCGCTTGTTGGAAAAATTTCTCAGCTTCTTTGCTTCCTAATTTTTCTCTAATTAAGTCTTGTGTTCCTTGAAACAACTCTATTTGCTTGTATAAGGAAAACCTCTGTATCTGCACTTACAATTGATCAAACTTCAATAGTGTCTAGACATAAACTACACACTAATTAATATTCAATGATGTATAGGAGAGTTACTTACGAAATAGGTGCCTGTCTCGTTTAGAATGCCACCACCACCAGAGGCAAAATTGACTCCGTCCTCCAATATGACATCTTCTGTTAAGGATTGATTTAGATATGCCGGTGGTCTAGGAAGTCCCATTTCATCACCTGCACCATAAGTCTGGTTAACACTGGCATTAATTAATCACTTCGATGAAATGGTAAGTACTACATTGAGAATGTTACCTATTATATCAGCAACAGTACGGCCATTGCAGAATCTACCATTAGGCAATCCATTTCCAAAATCAATACCATACCATGGCAAGTTCGCGCGAGCAAGGCTTTTAGAGAGGAAGTTGTTGTTGCCTACATCTGAAAGAGAGTCTCCGAAAATGAATTGAACAATCTTGCAATTGCAACCTCCAATTAGAGCATGAGTTAAAATGGTAACGAAAATCGGCAAGGTCAGAGTCAGCTTCATGTTAACTTCTACGTACTTATTTAAGGCTTTGAAAGTTTATCATAGGAATAATGAGGCATTCTTACCTTTTAAATGTTACGAATAAAAGGAAAGTGTAAGCATCTGGTGGGACAATCTAAAGCATCAGCTGGGAAGTTGGGATTTTTGGAGAGAAATGGAGGCAAAGAAGGGTAGCAAGAGTTTGATAGACCAACCGTCTAAGAAATTCAAACCTACTATATCTACCATGAGTTCTGTTACAACGGTTCACGTGTAACAAACATAAGTTGCAGTATTATTTATGTAAGTTTAGATTTAGTCTTCTAATATCATATGTACGAAGTGGTGATTTGACCTACCATTGCTAACGTGAGTTTGAATTTTGGGCTGTTGTTTAGTTATATTCCTTTCTTCCTGTTAGGTGTTTGTCCAGATTTTCTTACTATAATTGATTTTCCTATCTCATGAAGGAAAGGACAACATATTTACCATAATCGGATTTTTCTTTTCCTAGAAGGAAAATATAATTCTTTCATATTTGGCTAGTCCCTTTTCTTGTAGGAAAATATTTGGAGTTCTATAAATTAAAAATCCGTCCTTCTCATTCAATAGCATCCATAATGTAGCCATATGGAACTTGAGAGTCGTGTTTAGGGGGAGAACTTTACGGGACAAGTGTTAGTGTGTCACTTGTGTTTGCCTCTTCGTGAGGTAGTTCTCTCAATATTTTATACTCTCTTTTTATATAGTGGACTGATCATCTCCGTCGTGGATGTAGGTCAGTTGATCGAACCGTGTTAAATGTCTGTGTCTCTTTTGGTATATTTCTCTCTGTGTATAATTTATCGTCGTTTAAATTTTGCTTTGTTAGCTTTCGCATGACACCTGTTTTTTTCGGTCCTAAAACTTCCATCAGTAGGAAAACAAATTAAAGTTCTTGAAATCCTAACACCAATTTGAGTTTTAACTTCTTTGCCTCTAATTACTGATAGCTCAGGGTTATTGGATTGAAGTCAAATCCATATAGGTAGACATACTTGCAGGGAATTTTATTCGCTGATTTTGGACTTGTAATCATGCCTTGGACTTAATGGTGGACTTCTAAGATTTTCTAGTGGAGGAGATAGAGAGTTATGATATGAATTTCAAGTTCCTTTTAAACTTCGAAATGAGGCCCAAGAGTTTTGACTCCAGTCCAAAGCTGAGTAAAGGTGTTACCAAAGATCTTGGAAATGGCAACTAGTGCACTAAATTTTAGCGGGAAACTTACACAAATGTCCCAAATAAAGTTCTACTTATCAACCTCTAGCCATTAATCATGACTTACCGAAACTAGCCAAGCACATATAAAAATTGAAAAACCAAATAAATAAGGTTCTTTCTCTCAAAGAATCACATGCAAAAATCTCCTTCCATATTTTTAAGCGTGATTAGCAACATTAGTTGCAAGACGGAAAGGAAATTTCATGAATGTGGTAGAAAATAAGGTGATGAACAAAAAAATATACAATATTCCAAAAATCTAAGCAAAAAAGGAACTTTTCAATGGGTATAGTTGAAATTCATTGAAAACATATAGATAAGTCAATATACAAAATTTGAGGAAGATTGGAGGTGAATTGGACTGTTTTGTATCAAAATTCGTAATTAAATCGAGTTCAAAAAAAATTTCTGCGACACATGTATCACGCATGTATCTCACACACAGGTATACATGGATATACATGTGATACATAATTGATACAAATATGATACATATGTGATACACAAAATGATTCACTTTGTGATACACATATCATTTTTTTTTCATGTTCAGTTTTTACTTCGAATTTTCAATTCAAACCACCTCAAAACTTTACCAAATCATCCCAAAACTGAGATTCAAGCTCCTTAAGATGTACCCAATCTATTCTAATAACACCCACTCAAAAGAAAGCAGAAAGTTGACCTCTTTTTGTTACAAATAGCTAATTGGTTAATATTAGTAATATTTTATGAATTGACCAATTTTTGTAATGACCTAGTTATAAATGGACATAGCTGATAATTTCTCAATTTTAGCGGATAGAATCACATGTGATCCAAATGAAATTGACGTCAGGCCCAGTTACGCTTTTACGCAAATTGTTGACACTTCACTAACAAATGAATTTACATAAAGCTACCTAAATGGTGATCCAGACTTGGACTAAACAATATATTGATCCTGTTATAAATAGAATTGTATTTATGGTGAATGTCTATATTTAGAGAGATTCTAGGGTTCATTGCTTGGTGGCTAAGTCACCATCACCCTATAAATAAAGGGTTATATTCCACTGTAATTCATCCCAAATCAATAAGAATTCTCTCCCTCTACTTTTCTCTGCAATACTCTTCTTCTTCTTTTATTATTTCATAACACGTTATCAGCACGAGACTCTAACCAATTGAGTAGAAGCTTTGGGATTGAGCATAATGATTGTCAATTATTCCATGAACTTCCTTCATGATTAAATTTTGGATTTAAGGTAAGTATTTTACTTTATTTTTCTCTTTTAAATTCTTGAAATTCTATAATTTGATTTTAAATACAAGCAAAGACAATAAATTTTGGTTACAACTCTGACGGAGTTTGTAAGAAATTATAACCACCCGAAGTGGTAAAATTTCTATGTCTTGCCATGATCAAAGTCATGTATGATCGTGAGCACAAGAACTGAAAACCCGTCCCATTGAATTTGCTCCATTCTCATTCCCTTAAGAGAATGTGATATCAATATGTGATAAGTCTGAAAGAAGACAAAATTATTACCGTGAAGGTATCAATGGATGTGGACGTCGCAATATACGAAATTATAATCGTCATCATTGTGATAATGAGAATAATAAGGATTCTCAAAATAATCCTTCACTTTGTGAAAGTAATATTTATCATCGATTTGACATGAGATTTTATAAAGCACATACAGATGACTATGGTCAATTCATGATGTGAATGTGACAACATCTGATTTATGAATACATATTCATTCTTGGAAGAATATGAACGTGCTAGTGGTAGTGAATATACCACACTCACCTCTAGAAGGAGGTTTGAGATGATATAAGAAATCAATGTCATTATTATAGCATGAATGGTCATTGGTCACATACCTATTGTACGCCAAAATATTTTGGCAATGTGATTATTAAAGGACAACAATAATGCAAGAAACATATCTCGCACATAATTTTGACCATGGCCATAATGGTATAACTTTCTCCTTAAAAGAGATATTCACCATATGGATGTTGATGAATATGTGATAGTACAAAATTAATTGAGAACTCTGCAAGAGCCAATTATACTATTTTGGAGAAACACAATTGATTACCAATAAGGTATTGTGTTGTAGTAAGTCTCAAAGAAACTTATTCAGTTTCCAAAGTATAGCGAAAGCGGTTGGTTATATTGAGACTATAAATAAAGGAAAGATTTAATATCTTCTATTACTACAACTTGTAGTGAGGTAATATTTATGTGAAAAGCTACCTGCTTTATTCTCCAGTTTGTACTACACAAATAAAAGAATACCACAATAAAGTGGATATTTATTGATATAAAAACCCATATCATAATAAACTTGGAGTTTATTGATAATTGCTCACGTCATGGCGTAAATATGAAGTTTATCAATGTTGATAATTTATTCAGTTGGCATAATTGGTTTACCCATATTAATTTAAGTATGATGTGCAAAAATAAAAGAGAATTCACATGGGTAAATATTAAAGAACTAGAAAGTTCTTCACGAATTCTCTCATGTTAGTTGTTCTCATTAATTAATATACCAACTAAAATTGGGATTGAATCCCATGAATGCTGGAAATTTCAAAGGTGAATATGGGCTCATTCATCTGCCATGTATACCACATAAGATGCATCTATGAGATGGTTACATGTGCGATTATTATTAACCCGCAACCTGGTGTTTGCGAGGTAACTTGCTCAATAATTTAATTTAGAGCATAATTTCCAGATTTTCTATTCATGACAGTTTATCTTGATAAGTTGGTTTACATCACAACTGGTTTAGTAAGATGATTTATTGAGTGCTTCCACTTAATAGTTAAACTACTGCTTATGAGAAAAAAGTTATCTATATCAGTTTGATATACGTTATATACGAAAGTATATTACATTCTCCCCTCACAAGTGCTTCAGGGCCAGGAACCAAATAATTCCATCATATAATTATTAATGTGCAATGTGTATTTTGATTAACACCATAACGCACAAAGATGAGTTCTCAAAGTTGGGGAAACAAGTTAGTTTTTCTAACATGAGGGGGAGACACGATAAACAGTTGAGAAAAAGTTACATGAAATGAATTATCATTTCTATATCTAGATCCTCAAATAAGATAATATGAACTTGAAGTTCATAAAAGGATAATTCATTTGCAATATATTGCAAAGCATGCTAGACACATTTGCTGACCCAAAGAAAGTAACTATATTCTCGTTGCAAATGCTCCTATTAAGTCCTAAAAGGACAAAGTCTATGGTACGCTTAAAGCATATAGGCAAACCGCTTTCAAATAAACTTCTTGATAAAGAAGATGAGCAAATGATCATAATAAAGGAGGAAAGTGATCTAGAAGATCACATGACATAACACTTCATAAAATCTCATGAGAGATTCAGGTACCTGAATATGTTTAATGAAGAGATCTCCATGTTATGTCTTTATGAAAAATAAGGAGGTTGGAACTGACATAAAATGTTTGTCGACGACATCTATAATAGCGCTAAATATATATATGAGGATCTTAAGTCTGAAGAAACAATTCAAGTAGAATTCGTTGCATATGAAAGACATGTAGTTTTGGACATGTAGTTCAAACACTTGAAAGTATAAAGTCAATGGTACGTGCAATCAGTTTTCGATATCTTGTATGTCTAGCATGACATGAAAACTTGATATGCATCTAAAGTCTACTATATGGCTTATATGACTTAACATGTATGACAATCCATGAAGGATATAAGTTGCTTGAAGCATATACAATTCTTGATCTTGAAGTACCATTTCCTCAGTGCAATTTGTGCACAAATGTATCTTGCTATAGGCATGATAATATGATAGCAGAGTTTTACCTCTATGTGAAGATATTGAACTGACGATTCCAACAAGATCATATGAAGA